CTGCGCAGTCGCGCTGGCGCCCGGGGCCGACAAGGCCGCCAGCAGCCCGTCCAGGACGCCCGCCTGTCGAGGCTCACTGGCCGGGAGGGGGAGCGCCGGCGGGGACATTGGCCGGCGACGATGACGACGACGACATGCTGCCGCCAGGCTTCCTTCTCGTTCGGCCCGCAAGCTCGCCTTGCCTCGCGTGCTGGGCGGGGGGGGCGGGTCGTCCACCCGCCTCCCCACCCCCCTTGGGGGGCGGAGGGGTGCGCAGCCTCCGTGGGCGGGGCGGGGCTAGCATCGAAGGGCACCACAAGCCTCTCAATGGTTGGCACCACAACCCGACCGCCACCAATAGAGGTAGTTACACCATATTGGTCCGATCCCGAAAACCCTGTACCCAAAGACGTTGTCATCTCTTGGGGGCGCATTTTTTGCTTCCGCCACCTTACGCCGAGCTTCCGCTGGCGGGGTCGGCGGAAGTAAGACGAGGCCGCCTCCGCCAGCGGAAGGCCGGCGGAAGTTGGCGGAAGTAAAACATGCGCCCTGGAGAGATGAAACAAATTTGGGTTCAGGGTTTCTGGAATCCGCCATATGTTCTCCATCCAACGTGGCTCCATTCAAACTCAGTGGACTTCGAGCTTTGATGCTCAAGCCTCTCTCCAGAGGGGGGGCAGAGCAGTTCGAGCTATGCCACTGGAGGGGCAAGCCAACTGCACAAATATACACTTTCCGAGGCCCGACAAGTTGTCCTGCGCTGGAGACCCCCCTGCCCTCCCCTGGAGCGCGCCAGGGGACGGCCCTGGAGACGCCGCCGGGGAATCCCGCGGCGACCCATGGACAAGTCCGCGCGGACCCCCGAAGGCGTCTGTACTGCGGGTTCTAGAAATCCTGAACCCAAAAGTTGTGCCACCTCTTGGGCGGCCAGTTGTTGTTTCCGCCGGCTTGCGCCAGCGGAGGCGGCCTCGTTTTTCCTCCGCCGCCTTCCGCCGTGGAAGAGAGGCCAACTCCTTCTCATGCAGCTCCACATGCTGGTGGCGCAGATGCGATGGGGCGACCGGCCGCCGCTCTTGCAGGCCAAGCGGCGCTCAAAGCATTACCGAGCCGCCCTCGGGGCCCGCATTACAGCTCCATTCGTCTCACGTTCTCTCAGTTTGTTTCGATTTTGTCGATGTCTCTAAGTTCGCCTCCACTTCGCTCAGCTAGGCCTGGCGGCGCGCTCCACCTTCGCCTCCCAAGCTTGAATGATGTACACTGCAACACCATAACAGTGCACATATGTGAAAATGCTTCCTTTCTTCCTCCTCTCCCTCTCTCCTCCCTGCAAGTCTTCTCTCCTCTGCCTCTACCTCCTCTTCCTCCTATACCTTCCCCTTTGGCGTCGCCCCCGTTGGCGTCGCCCCCACGTGGAGCTGTGAGGGGCCTTCGCCATCGTCGACGGTGAGGCCCTGTCTGGAGCGCCCCACGTATGGCAGCTGCCGGGGGGGGGGGGGAACCGAGCGGCACCAGTGCCGCCACCCTGACGTCGGGCCTGTCCCCATACAGGAGGGACATCCAGAAATAGTAAAAGAATAGCCATGGGACGATGTTTCCATGTTTGACTTCTTTTGAAATGTTGTTTCGGTACTTTTGACTTTTTTCCGTCCAAGATCCGCCTGTAGCGGGACATGCCCGACCTAACGCTACCCCCCGGATCTCTCCCGGGTGGCGCTCTGCCCAGAATTCCGAGGTGAATCCGGCGGTAGCGGCGAGGACCTCCCAGAAGGCCCAGAGAGGCGAGAGCGCGGCAAGTGTATAGCGGTATGGGCAGGAGGGCCCAGGATGGAATTGATGAGTCGGATCGGCGATCGAATCTGCGGAAATCAGCAGCTGCGACGGGAGAAATCGAATGGTCGGCAGTCAGCAGGCGAGTAAGGCCTCCACTGAGAAGCTGAAGTCCACATCGGAACCCGAATTCGAACCGATCGAGTCGGAGGAGTCGAAATGAGCCCTATATGGGTACATGCTCCTGGCTCACGACGTCACTTCTTCTTGGGTGCCAGGTTGCACCATGGATGGGGACACGATTTTTGTACACCGCCCCTCACGAGCAAGCTGGTCCGGCACAAGACCGCGGAAGGGGGGCCGTGCACACCACCCCGGCACTTTCTACACCACCCCGGCAAACAAGCTGGTCCTGCGCAAGACCGTGGATCGGGGGCCGTGCACAAAGAAGGGCATTCCTCGACGGCACGATCCTCGTACACCACCCCTGCAAACAGGCTGGCCAGGCACAGGGCGCGCGCGCGGGGGGCGGTTGCCATGCAGTCGGGCCCAAGCCAGAAAACCATCCTTCAAGAACATGAGGCCCTCTGCCGGCCAGAACACACAGAGCATCCCAAGGGACGCCCCACAGGGTGCACAAGAACCTCCACCCAAAACACAAAGGAACGTTATGGTTCCCTCCCAAAGCCAGCCTCGATCTGATACCTCAGTCCGACTGGTACCATGAAGGATGAGGATGAGGGAGGAGGAGGAGTAGGAGGAGGAGGAGGAGGAGGAGGAGGAGGAGGAGGGAGGAGGAGGAGGAGGTGAGGGAGAGGAGGAGGGCGAGGAGGAGAGAGGTGGAGGATAGAGAGGGGAAGAGGAAGACGGAGGAGGTGCGGAGGAGAGAGGAGGAGAAGGCGGCGGGAGGAGGAGGGAGCGGGGGGCCAGGCGGCTGGCGAGGTAGGCGGCGACGCGCCCTCGGGCGCTGATTCGGCGGCGAGCTTCGGCCTGGGCGGCGGGCCGGCGTGCTGCTGCGGCGGGGCGTGTCTTTGCGGGCGGCCGTCGTGCGGTCTGTGCGCGGCGGCGGCTGCCTGACTTCGGTTCTTCTTCCGGTCGGTGTCGGTCTGTGCTGCGTCTTCTTCTTCTTGGGTCTGCGGCTGTCTGCGGCGGCTTCTGCTTCTGCGTCTTACGATGCTGTGTTCGTTCGTGGCGTCGGATCTGGCGCGTCGCCGTGTGCTGTCTGCTGCGTCGTGCGTCTCATCTTCTGCTGCTGGCTTCTTTCTGCTTCTGCGGCTTGTCCGGCCTGCGGATTCGAGGTCGAACTGGCATGCCCCGCCCCTCCCACCGCCCCACTCCTCTCCTGGGCACACTGCCAGGCCCGACTACCCTCGTGCCGGCACACAAGACCCGCTCGAGGATACGTGGCTGCCTCCGTGCCCTGGCTCGTGGTCGCGACCTCAGGGCCGTGCCCGGCGCCCCGACACGGCGCCGATGCCCCCATCAGGCCGCACTCTCTGCCGCGCAGCGCACCTCGAACGGCCAGCCTCGAAATCGTAAAACCGGCTCGACATGGGGACCACTAGAATGGACAAACAGGTCATGCCCAGCGCGGGTGTCCATCATAGAAGAAGGGGCCCTTGGACACACAAACAAATAGACACAAATAGCAGGATTCCCCTATACTTTCCATATTTTCGTGGTTTTTGTCTTCACCCCCCCTTTCCCATCTTTTCCCATATTGTGTGGGGAATCGACGATTCATTGTGTCTGTGTGATTTTTTCCCTCCTGAATCCAGTGGGCGCTGCTCCGTGAGGGGGATCGGCAGCGATGCTCTGGGGCGACAGAGAGCTCTCGGGCGGCTGGGGCCTCGAGGGCGCAAAAGAGAGGACTACGCACATACCTCTGGGTTGCAAGCGAATGCTCTCCAATCGTCGGGCCTGGTTCCCTACGCTTTTTTCCGTGTGTGTGTGTGTGTGTGTGTGTGTGTGTGTGAGTGTTTGTGTGCGTAGTTGGTTTTTGTCGGTGTTTGGGGCGCTCTTGGGCGTTCTCGAGGCCGTCTTGGGGCCGTCTTGGGGCCCTCTCGGGGCCCTCTTTGGATCCCTGGATGGCATTTGCGGCCATCTTGGAGGTCATCGATCAAGGGCTGGGGGTCACCCCCCCTGGCAAAACTTGCCCGAGAGGGCGGCTGCCGTCAACCGGCACGTCGCCCACGACACCGGGGAGGCGCCACTCCCGTGGACACCCCGCGCGTGCCCTCTCGCTTCTGGCGCACCTCGCGCGGCCAGCGCTGCTGCCAGGATCCCACTCCGGGCGTGCCCGCTCGCCTGTGCCGCGCACCGCGGTGTGTCGGCGGTGTCGACACGACGCCTGCCAGGAGGCTCACTCCGAGCGCGCCCGCCAGCTCCCGGCAGCCCCCAGTATTGCCCCAAGACAGCCCAGGAAGCCCCCAAGAGGGCCCCAAGACGGCCCAGGAGAGTCCCAAGACGGCCCAACAGGCGCCCAAAACAGCCCAAGAGCGCTTGAAGACGGCCACAAGAGGGGCCCACGGGTGCGCTTTCCATCCGGCACTCTCCGGCTTCAGAAACAGTTCCACGAGGCTTCTCAAAACGGTCCCTTGGGGCGCAATTCAGCAGCGTGCCAGGAGAGCCCCAAGAAAAGCCCAAGACCGAGCTTGCTCGCTCCCAGCAGCCATCGTGTTGCCCGCGTTCCCGCCAGGAAGTGCATCAGGACGCTCACTCCAAGCATGCCCGCGCACGTCCAAAGAAGCTCCCGGGGCCAGCAGTGTTGCCAGGTGCCCGCGAACTCCGGGCGCACACCGCGTGGCAAGCGTTGTTGCCAGGATACTCACTCCGAGCGTGCCCGCTCGCTTGCGGCGCACATCGCGTGGCAATAGTTGCTGTCAAGAAGCGCGCCGAGAAACTGACTCCAAGCGCGACCGCTCGCTTCCTGCGCACATCGCGCGGCCACCCCAGGGGGCCGGGAAGCTCACTTCGAGCGTGCCCGCTCGCTTGTGGCACTCCAGGATCCGCCTCCCCCCACCCCCGCATCCCCCGCCGCCCCCCCCTTCTTGAGGGGCAACGAGGGGGGGGGGATGATCGGCGCGGTAGGCCCCCGGCAGCAAAGCCCAGCGTTCCTAAGCGGGGTGGGGCTTTCAGACCCCTATTCGAGTGGGGGATCGTCGACTACAAAACTGATTTGCCCCAAGATTGTATTCCCGTGGAGTCGACGAACAATGCATAGAATGCTCCACCGACCCATGGCGCACTCTACG